AAAAAAAAAAAAAAAAAGCCCGGCATGGTGGCATGTACCCGTAGTCCCAGCTATTCAGTAAACTGAGGCAGGAGGTGGTTGCAATGAGCTGAGATCATGTCACTGCACTCCAGCCTGGGCAACTGAGTGAGACTCCGTCTCAATAATAATAATAACAATAAAACAGAAAATCCATACTAAAGGTAATATGATGGTTTGCAATCTGTTTGTTCAACTTTCTGATGCTAGATAAGATATAAGTGGATTGATGAGAGATTTTACAGTGGAAAAAATGTACACGAAATTTCACACTGTATAGAGAGGCATCTGTAAGTTATAGGGTAAGTGTTGATAATTTTTAATTGAAAATGACAACTGAATAGTGATACCTTACATGACATCTTAATTCTGACTCATTCAAAGATGCATAAAAGGGGCACTAAGTATTCTCTGATATATACATATAAACATCTCTATGTGTGTGTGTGTGTGTGTGTGTGTGTGTGTGTGTGTATTTCATGGCGCATCATCTGGTGAACCCTCATGCAATCCCTTGATATTTGCTGTGCCCCGAGGCACAGAGGAAACAATGGCTCATTAAAGCGCTGGGGTGAGTGTGTTTCCCAAGGTCATATAATCGGTAATTGCAGAGGCTGAGTTTCAAACCCAGGGCTTCTGACCTTAATTATGTTCCTGTTTCAAGGCCACATTAATTCCATAGAGAAGCTCATAGCCTATAAAATCAGAGAAGAGATAAAGCCAGAAGGTTGTATGAAATTCCCAACATAAGCCTCCCCCAACCCCGGCCGCTGCTACCTCTGCTCCTTACCACGCTGACCCTAAACTTAAACTAAGACCCTTCTGCAGTTTTGCCTGCAATACACAACTCTCTCGAAGCCTTTACAAATACTAAATGTCTTTGAGGTTTGGGGGCAGAGGCACATCTTGTATGGCTCTGACCACTTCTTTATCTCATCTGCCATACTCATCTCTCTGACCCAATCCGTCCTCACAGATTATGTCCTATAAATCTAATTTTCCCTCCTAATGTGAAAACAAACAAACTAATAGCCCCCTTCTCTTTTTGTGTGCTGTGAGAGCTCACCCCTCAGCTCTCAGATAGCCAGATTGTGTGAAAGCTAATTGAAGGATTTGCCCAAGAGATTTTCTTCCTAAGAAGAATTCTGGAGCTATCTCCTCACAGTAAAATGTTCTCTGTCTCTTGTCAAAATTGACAACAAATGATTGCATAGTAGAAATATTTGTGAGAATAGAGGGCAACCACAAACTCAGAGAGATGAAAGGCATCACTTCCCTTTGCATTAATTTTGTATTGTCGCTGTTAACAAATTACCACTATCTTACTGGCTTCAAACAACACAAATCTATTATCTTATAGTACTGAAGGTGAGAATTATCACTGAGCTAAAATCAAAGAGTCAGTAAGGCTCTGTTTCTTCTGGAGGATCCAGGGGGAAAAATCAGATTTTCTTCTTTTTATGCCCCAGTCCCTGTCTGACTGTGACCCTCCTCCCTTTGTATCATAAGGACCCTGGTGATTATGCTGGTCTCACCAGAACATCCAGGATACTCTCCTGATCTCAAAATTCCTCACTTAATCACATCTGCCAAGTTACTTTTATAATGTAAGGTAACATTCATAAGTTCCAGAATTAGGACATGGATGTCTTTGGTGAGATGTGTTTATCATTTCAACAACTATTGTCATCCCCACAACTATCCTACCCTGAAGTAGAATAAAACACACACACACACACAAGCTGATTTAGGAGCCAAGAGAAGAGAACTTGAAGAAACCTGAGACTTATGGGTCCCTGATGTATGCATGTTAATTTCTAGGGGATTCTGATTCTGCTGCTCTACTATGTACTTCATGGTGAGTAGTTATTTATTAAAGGCTCCTTTGATTTCGTGCTTGAATTTAATCTAAGAGAGATTAAATAAAGGTAAACTAAATATTTCTTAAATTTTGTGAATTTTTCTGTTTGTGCATCAGAAAGAAGAGTTATCTGGCAAGAATTCAGACAACCTATACCCTCCAAGAGTGAGAGTCTGTCCACTGTCTTAGGTTGGGCACCTCTGCAGCGGCCCCCCAGTGACAAGGATTTCCATGCAGGCAGCATATGTACAAGGTGCAAGAAACACCAGGAGGAAACAGGGAAGTGATGTGAGGAAGAGAGGAGAGACAGCGAAAGACTCCTCAGCAAGGGGCTACCACTGAGGACCCCTGGGACTCAAGCCCACATGGAAACACATGGAAAATGTCTCTGGGTTATTCCACCCAAGAGGTGAGGTAGCTGAGGTATGTATACAAGTTCCTGTCCTCATTAACTGAGAGCTGTCCTAGGGAATGCTCATACTCAGATTCCCTGAGACCTGCCATCAGGGTGCAAGCAGAGCTGCCTTCCCAGCTTCAGAGAGAGTAGCGGGGGCAGACGTAGCCATGGGGAGTCAATGTAAGCACAGTGAAGGGGAAAGGTGGGGGGTTACAAAAGTGACTGCTACATTTACACAGAAAAAATATGTGTTTTTCAATCCAGAGCTGTGTCTCTCTGAACCTGGATCCTGACAGGCTGTTTGGTAGCAAGATCCCTTAAAATTCAGGCCTCTGAAAAAGCAGCAGGAAGATTGCACACAGGATGCACGGCCAAGGTCTGGCCACTCCTACTCTTGCGTTTGGAACACTCCCCGCATTCCTGGCCTCTACTCCACTGAGGCTGATATAATTGATTCCATTTCGCCTGATTCTGAATCAAATCAGTGTCCAAGTTTTATCCCAATTCAAAATATTTAGCCATGTCCATTGGTGCTGGCTTGATAGGAGATGGAGATTCTCTTCTGGATGTGAGACAGGGAG